TGTGCCCTCAGAATCTCCTGCCCACCGCAAGGCTCCCAAGGGACAACTGCTCAAGAGAGGTGGGTGACTGACCCTAAGAACGGTGGTCAAAAGCCAGAGGCTGGGGCTGCTCTGATGCTCACGGAGGTTTTAAAGGCTGCATAACGAGCCTGGCTCTATTAAAAGACCTTCTGGGTCTAAGATGCAAATCCACGGCCGCAGCCAGGCCGCTTGTCTCAGTTTCAGCTGAAAAACGTCTGCCGTCGAGCTGCCTGGGCTAGTGCTGCAGCCACTGGGAGATGAGAAACATTTGCCATATGCTGAGGGATTACTGTATAAAAAACGAGATGCTTGGCTGCACTCCAAGGTACAAGGTTTCCAAATAGAGTCTGAATCCTGGACAGAAAAGTTCCAACTAAATATAGCCATGACAGTCTTAGACTTGACTTTTTTGTTGTTGTTGTTGTTGTTGTTGTTGTTGAGTTCACTTAAAAATAGCCTGGCAATGTATTTTTTCTCTTTTTTTGCCCTTTCAGTGAGGAGGCAGGTAAAGGCATGTCTCCGAATGGAGGCACAAGCCGAATGAGTTGGCAGGATGAGGAATCTCGCCCTTCTGCTCCATCCACCCTGAGACGCTCTCCTGACACAGCAAGGGCGGAGGGCGAAGTTTGCCCCTCCTGGGCTGCCTCTTCGGCTCAATGAAGCAGGGGAAGAGGAAGGTGCCAGGGCTTCCTTTGAAGCGCACGTGAAGCGAGGCAGGCTGACATAAATAGTGCATTTGCCAAAGTGGTATTTTTCGAGGATGCTCCTCCAGGAGCTCCTGGGGCCCTCCGTGTCCTTGCAGGCCAAAGGAGAGATTTATGGCAGACTCCACGGGCTTGCAACCAGCCATTAGAAATAACCAGGAGGAGCAACTTTGCTCGGCCACGTGGCCACAGCTCTCAAGAAATGCACTGGGCCACTGCAAAGGATGGAGGAAGGGTTATGGCTGTGCGGGAAGATGAGAAAGACCCACTTGATTTGTCACTCAATATTTTTAGAATGGCAGCACTTGCTTGAAGAAGAATAGGAAGCCGAAGGGTGCTGAGAAAGGCGAGGAATACAGCACCTGGAGAAAGGATGAAGCTTTTGAGGGGGACTCAGTCTCACATGACAAATCAAAAAATGAAGAAACTTTATTTTCTGAGTGATTTCAGCAGAACTTGTCACGTTCAGGGGCTGCTGAGAGCTGGAATTAGAAAACAGCCTGCAGCAGGGCTTGGAGATGCAAAACAAGTCTGCCAGAAGAGTTGGATATGCTGGTCCGTATCACACTTTTTTGGAACTGTGGGCTGCATTACTCAGCCATGGACCCACTGGCAAGCACAGGCATAAACTCAAAGCACCGATGCCAAATCAGAGCCTGCAAACCCCCAAGCACCAGGTTTGCAGAGGGCCATGCAAACAGCTCCGCGGCCCCTCTGCAACACAGGCGAGTCGAGTCCTCGGCACTTTGGGCTGGAGCAGCTTTATGGGCAGGAAGCAACCAATATTACAAAAGTCTATAGGAAAAAAAAAGCAAAAAGCAACAAAACATAAATATGTGGGACAGGAAGGGGACTGTCGGATGCACTTTTCATGCTGAGTGCCATTGTGTGAGTGAAGGGCCATTTGGAGGAAGTGTTTTGAGAGAAAGTTGAGTGAACTCGAGGCTGGAAGGGCTGTGTGGATGGCTTATGAGCCACGCTTGCCCGAGGCCAGAGGACACAGGCAGAGGAGATTCCCAGCAAGACGCTCAAACCTGCAAAGGTGTCATTGAGTGCAATGAGAAATGGGATTCAAGACATGCCCCCGAGGGCTTTTTTGCACCCTTGCATTACTTTTTGCATAGATTTTACTGAAGAGATCACAGGTTTTATGCCAGGAGATAGGAATATAAACTAACCAAGTTCCTGATACAGGTCTGAAAAGGGCGACCCTAAGAAATGGTGGACGTTGGAGAGTGGGAAGGATCGAACAGCCAGAAGGTGTCCAGAAGAAAGCAGAATATTTCATCGCCAGCATCAGTCCTGGGGACAGAAATCACAGAAATCATTCTAAAACCTTTAAGAAAGAAAGAAAGAAAGAAAGAAAGAAAGAAAGAAAGAAAGAAAGAAAGAGAAGAAAGAAACAAAATAAAAGGCAGGAATGCAGCCTGGAGGTGTGAATCCTCCCCAGAAAGGAGGATTTGCCTGGAGGGAGAAGTCAGGCTCTGACAAACTCATGTTCCTAAACAGCAGCACTGGGGAGGCTGGCAGTGGCAGCAGCGAGGGGGTTATAATAACAAATAGTGCTGCAGTTATACCTTACATAGAGAAAAGCGCTGCTGGAATCGGCAAAAAGCTTCTTGTTTAATTTATGGGGCTGGGGCTATATTTAGCCGGCTGATCCTTGGGGGTTTTAGCTGGGGCGGCCGCTCGGCCCCCGGTGACGAAGGTGTCGGGCTCTGCTTCTCGCACCGCCCTGGCCGCCGTGCTGGGAGACTCCCGCGGGCAGCAGCTTGGAAATTCCCCCGCTTCCCGCTCCGGCCGGCGGCTCACACGAGCTGGCAGCAGGGAGAAGCCGCGCGTGGCGGAGGAGGCCCTCGCTCCCCCAAAAAGGTGGCCCCTGGTGCCTCTCGTGCCATCGCGGGCCTTCTTGGGAGTTGGGATCGAAGGAAACCTTTGGAGAAAGGCGAGAAAAACGATCAGTTTTGACCCTTTATATATATATAAATATATATATATGCGTGTGTGTATATATATAGATAGATATCTTTTGTTTTTCCTCCGTCAGGGTAAATCTTTTTCAGCTGGATCCTCCCCCCTCCGACCAAAACAAGCTGCAGGTTTCGTGCCGGGCTAATTTTATCCTCCGCGTCCCCCCCCACCCCTCCCCGCCCCACGATCTCCTGGAGATTGTCCCATTGCAGCCAGCGAGGGCTAGAAAATAGCACATCGCCCACTCATCCAGCCTCCTTCCTCAAGGAAAATATTTAGGCGATGCCAAAGCGAGGGTTTCCATGGCAGTGATGACTTGAGCACCGTTGCCCTGGCAACCGCTTGAGGCCATCTTGAACCGCCCAAAAAATACCCTTCCTAGACAAATAAGGAGAGGGCCGCAGGTCCAGCCCGCGGCACCGGCGCGTGTGAGGAGGGGGGACGGGTGGAAGGCCACGTGTGGCCCCCCTGGGGATGCCAATGGTAGCTGGGTAGCTCTGCTGGAAGCCCACGAGCAATCTCACCCCTTGCTGGAGGAACGTGCGTCCAGGGCTTGCGATGCCATGGGGCTTGGTGAAGCTTCCAGGTGCCACCTTGCTCCTGTGGTCCGCCAAAGCCTCCCCAGCCGCATGGGGAGCTCAAGCAGCAGCTGCTTTCAGGGGATCTTTTGGGCAGTCCCGAAGTGCAAAGAACTCCTGGTTTCTCCCAAAATGCTGCCAACCTCTGAAACTCCTGCTGGGACCATCTGCTGGGGTCAGAGCTCTTGTTTGGGCTGGCAAAATCAGCGGATGGGCATCCCTTGCTCTGCATCATTTACCTCCTGTGGGGATCGCTCCTCAGGCCCCACGGTTTGGTTGACCTGATGTTAACACTCAGTTGCTTTCCAAGCCTGTGGGAGCTCCGCCACCAGCTCCTTGGCCATCTGGCCCTCAAGGACACAAGGAATATGTCAAGGAATATGAACCTTTCAGAACAGACAGACCATGAGCTCCAGCCAGTTACACTGTGTGTTCAAGCTACAGGATCGGAGCTCAGGGACCTCATATCTGCCCAGAGAAGGAGCAGTCCCATGTCAGTGCTCATGAGCCGCACGGACGTGTCCCAAGGGGCATTTCAGGGGCGAGATGAGGAGGAAAAGGCTCAGCATGTGACAGTGTCCTGGGATCTGCAGCTGCCCCTCTGTCTGAAAAAGGCTGGTTATGTTCAGCATTAGCCTGACCTGGCGGCTTCCCTCGGCACGTGAGCCTGAGGTCTAACCAGCTTCTCAGGATGGATGTTGAGCGGTCCCTGTGAGCACATGAGCAGCTCCCAGGCCGGACACAGTGACCCACGTTGCCCACATGACCGAGAAGCACGATTTCAACACGGGCTGCACTAATGGGAAGACAAGACTTTCCCCTTCACCCCTACCTTCTCCTGCCTCAGCCCAGCCTCCAGCTGCCCGACCCCCTTGCAGAAGTCGGATGCAGCCTCAGCAATCCGCAACCCTTTCCCCGGGATCGCTGCTGTGTCGAGCTTTTGGCACCATCCTGTGGCCGTTCCACACCGTGGGCACCAGCCTGCCACCACGGGCTCTGCTTGTGGGCTCCACATGGGTGCCCATGTCCCAGGTTGGAAAAGACCTTCAAGATCGCCAAGTCCAACTGCAAACTTGTCACCACTGTCCCTGCTCAACCATGTCCCTAAGCGCCCGAGAGCCCCTATGAGTGCTCTGCACGGGGAAAAAAATAAATGTATTTGGGGAACGCAACAGAGCGAGTGACTCTGAAATCCAGGTGTGTGGAGAGGCCGTGGACCGCAGTCCCATGGACTGTGCGGACGAAGCCCGGGACCCCTCCTGCAGCCACACCGGTGGGACAGGGCATGGATGTCACGGCCTGGGGGACCTGTGTGTGCGGGGAGCGGGATGCGCCCGGAAAAGCCCCACGGGTCTTCGGGGCCTTCCTCGGTGCGGGAGGAGGAGGAGAGGCGCCTTGGGTCCCAAAACACTGAAAAGTGTGTGGGGGGGAAAAGAAGCCAAGCGGGAGCCGAAGCCGTTGGGAAACGGCGCGTCCTCGGCGAGGCAGCGGGGCCAGCCCGGAGCGGCGCCGGCGCAGGAGCCGCCGCGGGGCAGGAGCCGGGGCCGGGGCCGGGGCCTGGGCAGGGGCCGGGGCAGGGGCGGCCCCGGTCCCGCCCCGGCCGCTCCGCCCCGCTCCGTCCCTACTTAGGGCGGCGGCGGCGCCGCCCCGCACCGCGCCAGGCCCCGCCATGGCCCCGGCCGCCCCCGGCTCCCCGCTCCGGCTCCCGGCCCTGCTGCCGCCCGCCATGGCTCTCGTCCTGGCGCTGCTGCCCGCGGCCGCCGCGCAGGAGGCGGCGGGAGGTAGGCGGGGACGGGCGCCATGTCGCGACAGAGCCCGCGATAGGCCCGCGGGAAGGCGCGGCCCGGGAGCGGCCTCCTTGGCAGGAGCGGGCTGCGAGCGCCGGGGCTGGCCGGGGAGAAACACCCGCCTAGGGCAGGTGCTGGGTGAGACTGGGGAGTTCTTGGTGTGCGGAGCCCGCTGGTGTCCGTGCAGTGCCTGCGGGTGCTGCGCTTGGTGTAGAGCCAGAGGACAGTCCTCTCGTGGTGGCCTCTCTGCCTTGGCTTGTGCCTGGATGTGACAGACCCTGTGCTCTCCCGGGAACTATCTTTTCGTTGGGCTCATGCCTTCCCTTTGGTGTGCTCTCTACCCTTGGGCACACGCGGGGGCTCTTCTGCACCCCCCTGCCAACGTGCAGTCCGAGGGGCTGCCCACATGTGATGGTTTCGTGGCCGTGATCCGTGCCGGAGCTTCCCAGGCTCTGCGCCCGGCGTGGGGAGATGCGTGTGCAATCTCAGCCCGCTCTTAGCGGCAGGTAAACACACTTATCTTGGTGCTCGCAAACCGCTGCCCGGTCCCAAGGGCGGCGCGGGGCATGTGACGGTGGCGGATCGCGGCTGCAGACGGTGAACGGGCTCTGCAGGAATCCCCCCTGGAGAACCTGGCTTCCTCCTGGAGAGGCTGCTTCCAGGGGGTGGCCCTTGTTCCACCCATCCTTGAGTGTGGAGGCAGGCTGCCTAACCCAACGTGGGAAATAAGACGCACAAACCCAAGTCAAAGAGACGAATGCTTGGGTTATTTTTGGTCCCGTGTGACACTTCAGCAGCTGATGCTCAGGGACGAGCAAATATCCTCTGCCTGAGGGGCTGGGATGGCCCAAAAGCTCTTTCCTGTTTGGATCAGCTAGCACCAGAAGGGCAGCATAAAGGGAAGTGAGTTCTCCATATGAGAGTCTTCTTGAAGACCAAACACCGCTGTGAGCTGGGGACAGACCCTGTGGCCCGAGAGGGTGGCTGATCTCTACACTCTGCTCGCCCGCAGCCCGGGAGAGCGTGTGGTCCTGCCTGGGATGTAGCGAAGTTGTCATGTTTCATTGCTTTTTGGGTTTCTGTTTCTGCCTTCTCCTTGTAGCAACTTCCTTGTTTGCAGTTCGTATGAACTGATCTTATCTGCTGATGTGTGCCGATGCCCCGTTGTGCGCCTCCTTGTCACGGCAGGGTCCCTTTGGCCTGACCACATCTCAGTGTGTCCTCCAGCTGTTCCCAAACGTGCTTGACATGACAGATGCTCTGGTTTTCAGACGAGACCCAGGCTGAGAAGCCAACAGCTGAGGGCTTTGTGGGGTGGCTGGAGCCAGGACCCTTCCTTGAGAATCCAGGCAACAGGTCAGACTTGTAAAGGCTTGTGCTTTGGTGAGACTTTGCAGCAGATTGTGCTAGCAGGGAACGAGCTGCCTTTTGGCCAGCGCTTTGTTAGCGTGCGACTGCCCTGGCTGTTAACTTGGTTGCCTGAATTGGGTGTGGAGATCTGCGCCAGGCCTTGTCAGTGACAGTGGCTGCTGCCACGCAGGTGGTTGCTGGACATGTAAGAGGAGCTGCCTGTGCCCCTTACTTGTCTCTGCCCCCTCCATGTGTATGTCCAATAAATTGCGTCCTGGTGGCTTGTGTCCTTCACCTCCAGCTTGAATGGCCTTTTTTTAATCCCATAGCTGTACTCCAGAGCTTTCTGCTTTGTAGAGTTGTGTGCTGTGACTGGGCAGATCGCTTGGTGACAGTTGCTTCTGGGGTAGCTGTTGAGTAGAGCAGAGGGGACAGTGTGTGCAGGGAGGAGGGAGTCATGTCTAAGTCAGGCAGAAGATGGTCCCCTAAGTTTGGGGAGATGAAGGAGAGCGGAAGCAGTGAACAAGGATGTTCAGGTGTCTCCACAATAAGTGACGCAGGCCAAGCCCATGTACCCTTTTCCAGGAACAAAGCTTTATGTGTAAAAGGGAGGTGGCTGCAGAGGCTGATGGAAGAGGGAGCAGCATGAGGAGGAGCCCGTCTCCAAGGCCTGCGTTTGACTTGGGGTAAAGAGCCCCACGGGCAGTGGAGCCTGGGGCCCAGCTTGCCCGCCTTTGGCACATTCCTTTGAGTTTAGGCTAGAAATCTGAGTGCCCTGAGGCAAAGAACAGCATGTGGAGATTTACTGTGAGGCTTTGAGCATGTGTTGAACCTGGAAGTGTTGGTAGCTTTTCTGACAGCTGGTGTCATGGGGCTAACAGCTGTCAGGAGTGCTTCTGGCCCTTGCAAAGCAAGGGGCAGGCCTGAGGAATGCCGTGTTTTAAAGCAGGGGGACGCTTTTAGATGTTCTGAGGTGTCTCTTCTTTCTCCTTGCAGCTTGTCACCAGTATACAAACAGGAGCTGTGAAGAATGTCTGAAAAATGTCACCGTAAGTAGCAGAAGTAAAACTTCAGCCTCCCAAATGCCTACGATCTGGGTGTGAGCTTCACGGGGCTGCTAAAGGAGCAGTTGCCTCTCCTGGAGCTGGTGGGTGCTCCCTTCTGTGGCTGTTGCAAACAAGCTGCAAATACCACCCACCCATGACAGTGAGAGGGCAAGCGCCTCGGTGCTCTAGGAATAAATCAGTTTCTAGAAACTGTGCTCGTGTTTTATTATTTATTTATTGCTGTATACCTCGTAAGTAATGGCATTGCTAGGCTCCTCATCAAGCATTCGAGATGTTTCTTATAGTCAGGTGAGACCACAAAGTGCTATGTTCTGGTGTTGAAAATGAGTGCATGCGTGCTAGTAGTTGAGTAATTTTGATCCACCTCTGGCTATAGCTTTGCATGGAGCAGGAAACTGGAGGAGGGACCTCTGGGGGGGGTCCCTTCCCACTTAAATCTTCTTGTGACACTGTTGGTTTTTTCCTTTATTTACTGAAGTAGCAGTGTATGGCCATCTAGGTGCTTTAAGAAGCCCCACCATTGTGGGACATGGTAGATGTGCTGTTGGTAGGCCTAGCTAGTCAAGAGGCCTCCATCAGTCTGAATATTGTAGCACTGAAAGGATGTAGGATGTGTATATTGGTGTGCTGTGAACCTCCTTCTACCTCGGTGGACATGAACTTGAGTCAAATCTCCCAGCTGGCTTAGCTAGAGCCAGCTTGACCAAACCCACCTAAGCCCTGGCCCTATGGGTTTTAGCCCCCAGGAGAGGACGAAGACCTTTGCTCCTGTCCCAGGAGCAAAACACCAAGGATCTAGAGATAGCTGCCTGTCTTGTGTGCCCTGTCTTGTGTGTCGCAGTGCCTGTGGTGCGTCAGCAGCCAGGAGTGTGCGGAGTACCCTGTCCGCAGGATCCTTCCCCCGAGTGACCTGTGTGAGCTGCGCTCGGCCCGCTGGGGAGTCTGCTGGGGTAAGTGGATTTCGCTCAAGGAATCACTGGCCATGGTGGCCATTGTAAAATGGGACCAGTTGCTGCCTGTGCTGGTGTTAATGGGAGACTTTTCCTGCCTACTTGCCTTGTTTGTGTTATTGTATGGGCTTGTTGAAGCAGACTGTGGTTCTGCAGACTTTCTGAAGGGCAGATGAGAAGCTAAGGGTGAGCAGTCCTTGCTGGAGAGTGACCCATGTGGCTTTAGTTACCCCAATGGGTTCCTCATGCGTTCATGTGGTGGCTGCTTCCGAATGTGGCCCAGCACCTAGTAGCAGGAACTGCAGACTTCACAGCTGGCAGCTACAGCCCTTTCTTGTGCTCAGATTGTGCCCACCATTAATGGCCTTCCCTGCAACGGTGCAAGCTCTGCACACTGAATGTGCTGCACCGTTCCTTGCGCCGCTTCTGGCTCTTTGGCTGTATAAGCTGCGGCACAAAGAGCCATTTGGAGCCAAGTTATCTCGAGGCGATTTTTCTGGCTGATAGCTGAATGTTGGCTGTGCTGTTTCGCACTTGCTTGCTCTGTTTCTTGGTGTTATTCCAAAGGAAAGAGCGTCTTGTTTAAAGTGGGATTAGTGTGTGCTCATCCTTGGACAAGACCCAGCTTTTGCAGGGTGGGGTAGAAGAGTGAATTAAAGGCAAGAGGTGGCTCCCTCCTCCTCTGTTCTGTCTGGCTTTCCCCAATGGGGATCTGAGAGTTGAACAGATCCCCAATGGGGATCTGTTGTCACAAATGTATGTAGTTTTTGAGACTGGGCTGTCATCTTCACACAGAAGAGAGCTACTCTCTCATAGAGAGCAAATCTCCTCTTTGTGAGCAATACTTTGTTTTCCTCATTTTTTTTTTTTTGTAAGACCTTGAAATACTAGTCTGTGTTTAAGTAGATTCACAAAAGGCTCCTTTGTGGAAGGGCACATTCCTTAACTTGCAAAACTAGCTCCAGGGGAGATTACTTGGAGGGTGATTAGCTCTCATATGAGTCTGCCTTTACGGTGTGTGAATTCCCAAGCCTTTATCATCAGGTGGAGGAGTGTACAAGTGCCCAGTTGCATTCCTCTGCCCACGGGGAAGGAGGAACTGGACCTCAGGCTCACCCTCAAAGCCAGGTATCTTGGAGGTAGCAGCACAGGGCTGTGCTGTTGGAAAACTTCCCTTTTAAGATGAAGAGCCTCCTTTGTGGGCGGGAGCTGGAGATCTTGAGAGCTGCTTCAGTGGCAGAGTCATCTTGGAGTGGAGCTCCCCTCCATAAGCCTGTCATTACTGAGCCCCCAGGGTGAGGTGGCAGGCAAGTGTCTTCTGAAATGCACTGTTAGCAATACCCAAACTGATTAAAAACCAACAAATCCTACCTCGCTTTGTCACTAGTCCACGGACTCCGAGTACATGAGTGCCCCAGCTCAACATTTGCCTCTTCTAAGGTGGCTTTTGAGGAGCTCCCTATGGATGGAGCTACATGTCAGCACTGAAATCCCCAGGGAGGTTTTTCTTGAGTTACTAACCCTCTGGACTAGTGATTAAGCTTTCTCTGCTCCTTCACAGCTGCTCAAGCCCTCTGTCCTCCAGCTTGGCCCAGACATGGGAATCTACATCTACAGTGACCTGGAATGTAGCAAATAACCCAAGTTGGGAATTGCAAACTGCAGTCACCCTTTGCTTGCAACTTCTAACAGCAATAGTTTGACCTGAGCATACTTGTTCTTGCTGTTGTCTTCATAGCTGCTAAGTGATGTAGTTATTGGCTATATACAATGAATTAATGCATATGTGCCAGTGCCATCCCCTAGTGTACCTGTGGAAAGAAAATGGGAATTGCGTGAGAGTCTGGGCCTCCTGTAGATACATGTCCTGAATCCAGTAACTGAAGCTGTTGTTGGCAGTAGCTCTGTGGTCGTAAATGTTTTAACTTCCAGACAGCCATATGTTTGTGTACTAAGTGTTTTGTTTTTATTGTTGAATCCTTTAGTGAACTTTGAAGCCCTGATCATTGCGATGTCTGTGGTGGGAGGAATCATCCTGATTATGCTGGGTGTCTGCTGCTGCTGCTGTTGTCGGAAAAAGAGCAAAAAGTGAGTGTTTCAGAGCTACCCCTCTCTTTCCCCAAAGACAGCAGAGATGCAACCATGTGTTGTTGCAGAAACGCGTGTCAAACACAGCTAATAGGCTCCTCTGTCTGTCAGGCCCGACAAGGATGATGAAAGAGCGGCCAGGGAGCGAGAGAAGAGGAGGGTGCGACAAGAGGAGAGGTGAGGGGCTCCTTCTGTGCGAGCGAGTCCAGCGCTGTGCCAAGCCACCCCACACAGCCCAGCTTCTGGCTGTGCTGTTGGAAATGCCATGTCAGGAAGGATGTGTGGCCCCCAAGTATGTAGCGGGTGGTGGATTTGCCCTCAACATGGGTGTAAGCCTTGAGAGCAAAATCCTTCTGCTGTGGTCTGTGGATACCTCACACTTGTGCATATCCACTGCTTGGTTTTTGTCTTAATGATTTGGTGCTTTTGTTTGTTTTCCAGGAGAGCAGAGATGAAATCAAGACATGATGAAATCCGAAGAAAATATGGTACAGTGGCTTATGCAAACTAAGCTTTTGATCGGGCCTCGTCAGTAATTTTGCATTTTTCACTATGGTTACAGCCACCTGGGATGCTTGGCCAGCAGGGAAAACAACTTATCTCCCCCATCACATTGAATTGCTCTGATGCCCTTAGCGAGCAAGTCTAGAGATGCTTGTGATCTGACACAAGTTCTGTCTCCTCTGTGGGATAGGAAAGGGGGCCTGTGTAATCCTCTGTGGGAGCTGTGTCCCCCTGAGACACTGAAGGAGGGACCTGGGTGGGTTTGACAGGATGGGAAAACCAAGAGCTGATATGTGTAGCTGTTGTCCTTCAAGAATGGCCTTTCTGCAGTCCTGTGTTGGCCAAACAGGGAGCAAACAGCATGGGCTGCAGGGATGGAAAAGCTTGTGGTGTCCTACAACTCTAACACAAAGCAGGGTTGGGCAGGAGCCTGGCCTTTGGGGCTTGGACGGTGAGTCTCTGCTGCAGAGAACTTGTGCGAAGGCTGCTTGGACCCTGTGGGGCCCACAGAGAGAAAGCTGGAAACCCCTTCTCCACCTGTAACTAGTGACTGCTGCAGAGTCAGGTTGTGTACAACTCAGAGGGGCCTCTGGCTGGACTGGCCTCTGTGGTGGGAGGAAGAGCAGGCAAAGCTGTGCCCTGAGGAGGCCTTCAAGGCAAGACAGCTGCTCTTGGAAATGCAGGAGCCATGCTCCAGTGCTCCCTTGCCATGCCAAGGCTTTATCTGGCTGCCTCAAAACGAGGGCCTCAAAAGAGGTTAGATATCATGTGAGTAACAGAATTGTCAAGTACTGGACTCGCTGCTGCTGAGACTGCAGTGCTTAGGAAGCTCCTGCATGTCTGAATGAATCTCTTCTCTTCTAGGCCTGTTCAAGGAAGAGAACCCTTATGCAAAATTTGAGAACTAACAGCATCTCCTGATCTGCCCAGCACAGCTGAACAGTGCCCTCCTGCACAGAGCCACAAGGACTCTGCACCTGCCAAAAGGAAATCGCTGTGATGCCACTTTTTGCTTCACTTGCCACGAAAGAGGGGCCAAATGCCCCCAAAGATGGGTCAAATGCTCAACAACACTGTTTTCCCCCCTACTCTGGAAACTCGGTTTGTTCCACTGCTTTGCTGTAGCAGCAAGACCAAACTGCAAAAAAAGAGCCAGGGTAGCTTTCTCACTGCAGTGCCTGGAGCACCTTCTGAAGCCTTCAGCAGGAAAATTTGGTGGCCTTATGGGAGACCTAAACACGTGAACACTTCTCATTTACCCTGGGTTGCTAGTTGAGTCCAAAGCAGTGCAAATAACCGTCCTTATCCCTTGCACAAGGGCAGATGCCACCTTGGGCAGCTTCCTTGCCCCTTCCTCACTAAGTATTTGTTTCACACTGAATGAGACTATTGTCTCCCTCTTTTCCTTTTTTTTTTCTTTTCTTTTTTTTTTTGTCTTCTCCTCCTCCCTTAGTCTAGGCAAAAGCTCTGAAGGGTTATTTGACCTGTTGGTCAGAACAAGGCCTTAGCTGTCACTCCAAGTGCCTGTACTTCTCTGTGCACACTTGCATTCCTTTCCAAAGCGCACACACTTGTGATTACCTTGCACACCTTCACTTAGAGCTAATCTGGGGAAACTCTACAACTCTTCTACCTCTGTGTGCCTTGCTAGACCTTCTCCTGGGCTTCTGACAGCCAAGGCCGACAGCAATACTGTAGGATTCAGACACAATTGCAATATGTTGGCTATATGTATTAAATCTGTTTTGATTACTACTCAAGACTGAAGGAATTTAATTCTTTCTTATGAAGTATAAGCTGGCATATGCTGCTGATGAAACTAGTCAGTGGGAATCTTTCCTGGCTACAGGAGTCTTGCCCTGCCAGGCTTGGTGATGGACTTGAATGGATTTCTAGTCAGGGGCAAGATGTGTGTTTGTTAGGAGCGTCCTGGAAAAGGTTGGGTGGGGTTAGATGAGCTGCTCTGAAATGAGTTAAATCTTTGGGAGAGAGCCTGGAGTGTCTCATGATGCTGCTGATGGGAATAGCATGGGGAAATGTTAAGTTGCTCCCCTTTCTCCTGAGACTTGTCTAAAATGCATGATGTGAGTTGCTGAACTTAGGGCCCTCTGGCCTTGTAGGACATGGTTTGAGGTGAACTTTGCACTTTTAAAACTAAACCACCGTGAAACCTCGCTGCTGTTCCTGAGCTTTGCTGTGACTGCGCCGAGCTCTTCACTAGGTGGCAATAATCTGACTCGCTTTTGCCAGGCTGGATAGAAATGTAAGACGTGCTGGTGACTTTTCATCTAGTCTGTGTCTGCTGCCAAAAGATACTCGGCTTCCCCTGATAGGAACAGTAAATGAATGACTCAGCCGGCGCTGAATGAAGCTTGGTACGTGACCTGGGCACTTGTTACTACAAACTGTGCATCAGTGTGTAGCGCCAGGAGGGCTTCCGAGAGTAGAGCTGGGCTTGCCCGGCTCTGAGGGCTGCTTCCTCCTCGGCCTCCCTTGGCCAAGCTTAGGAGTATGTTTGGAGAAACGGCGCTTTGTGAGCCCTCTGCCTCGTCCTGGGCTTGGTTTGAGAGCTCCCTGTTGAACCTAAGCGTGGGGTCGGGCACGGGCACGCGGAACAGGGAAGGTGAGGGTCGTCACTCGTGTTTAATGGCACGTGCTGGCCTGGGGGCATGGCCCTGCGTGGATGAGGTGTAGCTGCTCCCCAGGACTAGGGCTGGTTGCAGCATGAGGCGCTGCCAGGGCAGGAGCTCCGTGTCCTCCGCGCTCGCATGGGCCTCCAGCCTCGCTCAGGTGGAGGCTGTTGCTCCAACAGCCTCCGGTGCCTCCGCTCATCCTTCTGCTTGCCCTTGTGATCAGAGGGGATGGCAGGGAGCCCCTGAGCACCCGTGTGGGTGGTTGGGGGTGAAGCTGGGCTGTGGGCCACCTGCCCAAGCTGCGAGAGGGGGAGGATGTCCGCCCTGGCGGGAGGATGCGAATTCCCGGTGGGAATGGGGGATGTGGAGTGGAGGAGGCGGGTGGGGGGTCCCGTTGATGCCCCTGCTGAGGAGCAGGGCGCCCGCGGGAGCCGAGGGCAGGCCCGGCCGCTCGGGGCCGCGCCCGGGGCCGTGACGCACTTGGCGGAGCCGCCTCAGGCCGGGCGCGCGCGCC